AAATTATTTTCCAATTTTTGCTGTAGAAATGGCTAAAAGCACTTTCCCTTCTTTCATTTACATTCATTCAGGTGTGGGCTACTATTACCAGAGTCGATAGATATTCTGGTCCTTGCACTACCAATAGCTGTAATACTACTATTCTGGTTTAATAAATATTTCTGCCACTTTGAGCACTTCAATCGTGCATAGTCCTAAGTTTGGCTGGAGCATAGTGAGCGTCAGCTGTAAACATTCAAAATTCTTTTAATATATGAAATTTTCTAGTTTTTAACTCAGATATTTCTTTTGTCTTTTAGAAAGGACTGCTTGTAAATTCTATTTTAATCCAATTTTGAACATTATTTATTTGTAAATGTCGTTTATATTTATACTAGTAGCCTGGGACGCCCCCTAGTGGGCATTCTTTACAAATTTCCATGTGGCATGGTTTCTTTGACTTTTTTGTTCCTATCAATATGCTCTACAGCTCTGTTAAAGTCCCAATTGCATCATATGGATCTATATTTCTATCTATTAAATATTCTATAAAACTTTAAAATAGTTTAATTTGTTTATTTACCTTCGGTTGTAAACCTCAATTTTAAATGTATTTTTTTCAACAAATTTCCCGTGAGTCAATGCGCAATGTTCACTGACTTGTGAGTCACGGGATGTTGTAAACGTGCGGTGCAAGGTTAATCAAGGCATATAATAAATATTTATACCATTCTGTGGTATAAATAATAATTCATATCAATAATAAATTCCTATTACAAATGAAAATAATTTATTGTTAATTTAAAATCATTGCTAGGGCGCCTCTAGTGCCCATTTTTGGCATACCGTTACACGGACACGCATTCAATGGGTTATATAGATAGATTTATATTAACTGTCACTTTTACGATTTTAGACTTTAAATTGATTAGAATGTTTATTTGTTGATTACAATTTGTGTTCATTTTTAAATATGGGATATCTTCAGGATTCCGAGAACTCTCTGAAACAGGAAGAAAAGGGAATGATAAAAATTATATAATCTAATTATGGAAATGTATAGAAATGCTAAACCATATATTAAGATAGGATAGATTTAAAGTGTTACAAAAAAAGAGAATTAGGATTTAGGATGGCTTTGGAGTTTATCAAGGTTAAGTCCATATCTTTTTTTTATTTATTAATATTAGGTGAATTGTTGTAGTTTGCAGTGAGAAAAGAGCTATGATACATGTTATTCACAATTTATATTGTGTTTATTAATTTAATGAGATAGAGAGAGATTAAAGTTGAGCCAAAAAAAGTTAGGAACAGGTTAGAGAAGGGGATTAAAAATCAGTAAACTTAGTTCTTGGATTTCAGATATAGGCCATTAGAGGAAAAAGAGGAAATTCTAACTATTTAGAAAACATATTCAACATAAATTTGTGCACCATCATGGCAGCACTTCCAGTCACGACTGTTCGTGCTCCTGACTGACTCCTCCTGGACGGGAGCCGCCGGCAGACCACCAAGTGTATAACATCACTAGTTATTGATATGTATGTTCAAGAACTACTATGAATCAATAACTAGTGATGTTATACACTCAGCGGCCTGCTGGTGGCTCCTTTCCGGGAGGAGTCCGTCAGGAGCACAAACAGTCCTGACCACCGCCATGACAATGCAATGCTAGCAAGAACTTATTTCTAAAAAAAAATTTAACTTTTAATCAAGTTCTTTCAAATGCTGAACTGCTTGCCTTACATTTGTTACATAAAAAAAACTGCCAATGCCAACCATCTCATTTATCGCAATCTGCATCAACAAGTTGTAAGCCGAACTTAATCACAAACTTTACATGAGACGAAATTCTCTCATCAACATCTAATTCAGGAAAATCTGATTCCAAACATAGAAAAAAATCCTTCAAGGTTGGTCTACTTGCAAAAATGAAATATGCAGACAACGACATTTGAACAAAGCGCATTAAACCACGTTAAACCAATAGAATTGATCAAATAATCTTCAGGTCTGTATGTATTATTTAAAATATACAGACCTGAAGATCTCCAATTGCAGATTGAAAATGTTAGTTGAAAAATTTTTATTTTGAATTAAACCTCACTGGAATACAATTTATGGTTTTTGGATTGAAGTGTTTATTGTATCATTGCAGTCTATCAAGTGGTGTTTATTATATTGATTTGATTATTCTTTTGTTTACAGAATCCACAGAGATGATTACTCCATCTAAATGAATAACTAAACATCAAAACTGGATTTAGCTTTACCTCAGCAAATTTAAATATATTATTAATCAATTTTCATACATGTTGAAGAGAAACTAAGAAGTTAAATTAATCACAAGTATATATATATGTATGCACATATTTATATATACTAAAGGTTTATTTTTAAAATGATTAAAAGTAATTGATATAATATATATAAATTTTATAAATAATTTTGAAATCTTTTAACTTTTTTAGATAAATTACTTTTTAAAAAAGAAATAAGGGTTTTTCTGTATACAATAATGTAGATAATACTTTAAAACATTATCTTAGATATATTATCATGATAATGAGGAGTTTTTATTATGCTAAAATGATGTAAATATATTTCAATCATAAATTTCATTGGTAAATTTAAAAAATGGTTTTATATAAAATAATTTATCTGATTATAAAAATAGTATAAATCATTGATAAATGATTTAAGACATGAATTAAAAAATTTTAATAAAATAATTTACAAAGTTGCATAACTAAAATGCAATATATTCCATTCTGTTGATTGAATAATCTATATAAACATCATTCGAGATGTTCTATAAATTCATTCTTTTATATAAACTATTTAATCAACACTAAAATTTATTTTTAAAATCTTTAATTTGATACATCAAAATTTATTAATCCAGAATATATTTTTATGATAGTGAAAAAAAATAAAGAAAATTTTTCAAAATTAATATAATCATTTAATTTATATCACTCATTAAAAAATTGTTTGTAAGTGTATATTCTAGTGAAAATTTGTTTTAAATTGTGAAGTTTTTTCTTCATACAAGTGTCTTTGTATACTGTATTTATATATATGTAGTTAAGTATAATTTATTTTATGTGTATGATATACAACACAAATAGCATTATTGCATAACTTTTATAGCTTAAATATATATATTATATATAAAATAAAATAATAATATGTTTAATGATATATATATTTTTTTAATTCAAATTTTATAAAAAGAAAAAAATACTAAATTTGATGGTTTTCAATCAAATTTGATGGTTTTGCAGGCTTCAGTAATAGCAGCTTCTAAGCAGCATAACTTATTTTAGAAATTAATAAAATGTTCATTTTTTTAACATATCTATTTTGTAATGTAAAAATTATTGGCTATTTGAAAATACAAAAGAAAATTTAATTTTATTGGTCAAAAATTGTCAGGTTTATATCCAAACTCTTATTGTATTGGAATAAAAGAATTTGGACATTTTATAATTTCATATTTAATAATGCATGTGTAAGATGTACTTTTATGATATAAAGGGTAATTATAAAGATGATGCCAATGCCGTTTTTTAAGGTAACGGTAACATTAATGTTCTCAAACTGTCTCCGTCCATAATGTTAAATTGTGAAGGCCTATTGTGGCTTTGCTATTGGACAAAAATTATAATTTCCAATGTGATAAATTGCTCTTTTTCATTGCATCTATATATATATCAAAACAGATTGAGAACCACAATTTAGAAGTTTTTTTTTTTATTTGTAAAATTTTTATTAAAAATATTTGAGAACTTTATTGATGAATTACTGCTATATTTTTAATATTGTACATATGCCATAATAAAATTGAAGTAAAGCAAATGCTATACTTATTAAATTTTATATATTCAAAAGATGAATCAAAAACAAAAATGTGATATGTGAAATATTGCAGAAAGTTTCTTAATATTGTACATTGAGTACATTCTAAGTATTCTAAGTTCATTGTGCATTAAACATTGTTATGGAATAGCAAATAATGAAGAAACAATTTAATTTAAAAAATTTTTTAAGCAGTAATAGTTTTTATATGTATAAAGATCATTTTTCTAATTATTATGAGTAAAAGCGAAGTAATATTTTGAAAAATCTTCTAATATTCTTCTAATGTTATCTAATTTGAAAATTAAAACATATAATTAATAAGAGATCATAAAATCAAATATTGCAAGATTTTTCAGCATACAAGGCTGAAAAATTATAATGTTATAAAGTCTTACAATAGGCTAAAAATAGACTTATAATATCAAAAACATCCAGTATTATTTGATTATGTTTAGGACTTAATGTAAAAATTTCAGGCTTAATTTGTTTATACAATAGCAGATTAAATTATTTGGAACTATTTAAAGTGTAACAGAATAACCATCAAATTTGTTATCAAAAAGGTCAGTTATTAACTATCACCTGATCAACCATATTGGATTATTTGGTCTGATTCACCTATGAATTGGTTTGAGATTTAAGTATCAAATCCTTGTCAATCTTGTTAGTGATTCTGTCTGTCTAATTTTAATAATGATTCTTCTTCTTTAGTAAGCTAGTGATAATATTAATAAATTTACTTGAGGTAACATTGATCTTCTTATAAATGATGATTTCAATATGCATTTTAATCTTTCACGGATCATCTTCAGATTTAAATTTCTTTCTTCTCCATCAGAAATCCTTGTTTTATTCATAAAAATTCTCTCTATTGACAGCAAAAGTCAACAAGGATTTGTGATAATGCATTTTCAGCTATCTTTGAATTATTTGAATTGGATGGAAACATGGAGATTGTTTTATTCTTTATTCAGATTTTTGAATAAAATAATCCTCTTCTTAAAATTTATTTTAAAAAATTGTATTTGATATAAAAAAAATTTTCATTCGTTAAATGCGTTTTCTTTATCCGTGCGTAAGTTTGTTTGAAATTCATATTACTTAAATTCGTATTCTTAAAATTTATTTTTAAAAAAGGTATTTGATATAAAAAAAATTTTCATTCGTTAAATGCGTTTTCTTTATCCGTGCGTGTGTCTGTTCGACAATATTATTTTCGAAAACTAAAGCCAGAATGCTGAAATTTTTGTGACTTCAACTAAGAATTGTGTATAGTGAAACTTTGATTTAACTCCACCGTTAATTAACTTCAAGCAGTAAGAAATTATAGTGATGAAGTTTAGACACGAATTAAGGTTGAGCGTTTGAAAGTCACGTGATCTGATGATAACAGTGTCGTTCACAATGCAAAATTACACACAATTAGTAATTCACAGATACTGAAGGATTATTTAATATTTATGGAAGAAGATACATTGGGGTCTTATGAATATTGCGCTCTGTCGAGGTCTAATTTTATCCAATTTATGTTTACTTCCGGTGAGCCAAATTTAAAAATATGAAATTTAGTGGAGAAAAGTGAACAGTTTTGAAATCTTGTATTTGCATTTCATGCCAGTTTGTGTGTCTGATCTCAAAGATCCTTGGTAATTTTGGATCAGTACCGCAATAAAACTAAATTTACTTGTATAAAATTCGAATTTTCACCTATTCCTGTTTTTGGTGTGAATATTTGTAGCCGTAAATATGTTAATTAAATGCTTTTTTAAATTCATATGTATTTTTTAAAATTATTTTTATTTAAAGAATCTCTTCCATTAGGCTTCTCCCGAATACATTGTACTATATCCAGTTGAAAAAACGAATGAATCTCAATCGACTGTGGTCGGTTTAAGGTTTAATATGGAATCGACTCACTTCGATTCAAAACTAAAATGCACTTCTATTATATTCCAAGTTATCGACGTCAGAAGTGATGTAAAAGTTGTGGAGAATAATCGAAAAAATGAACTCCAAATGGAAGAAAACAGAGGAGCTGACAGTGTTAGAGGTAAGTTCTGATCGATTTTGTCACTATACTTTAAACGATAAAATGTTTTTATGTAGTTGATATATAGAGTAAAATAACCTTATTTTATAGTTAAATAATGTAGGACATGTTTAAAAAAGAACATATTTTATTTTCTAGTCGTAAGAGCAACGTATATTCGATTTTATTCAGCTGTTTCGTAGATTTTTTAAAATTTTAATATGTAAAATTTCTTCTCAGTTTAAATTGTTATTTATTGTGTTTATTTTAGCCGAAGATGTTCGTGGTTTGGCCAATCATATCATGCCCAGAATAGAAGTGTTATTATTATTACTGCTGCTACCTTTTCTATGATGGAATCGATTGTCAAACTAGTCAGGTGATAAACTATCAAACTGCACTTGTCAGTCAGTCCACTCCCAAGTTCAGTTGACAAAAGCTTGTCTACTTAAACAACTGAATGCAGTGTTTTATCGTAATTTGATTCGAAAGGTACTTTGTTTCAGGTGCTTAATTTGTCCGTGTTTTATCAACAGGCACTCGCTGAAGTTTTGTTATTTTTATTTTTTTGTTAAATTTACAGTCAAATATTTTTCAATCTGTTTAAATTTAAACTCTCTTCATCATTATAACAGTAACTACATCTAAAACTGTGACTTGAAATTTTAAATATCATAGAATGGAAGAAAGAAAAAAGTTCTGACATATAATAGAAATATATATAATCGAGTGAGCAGCTAGTCTACGTAAATTTGACTAAAAAAAAAGAAAATTTTTTTAATTTATGAAACTGCCCAGAATATTTGAATNTGTATACGAGGTGGCCCAAAAGTCAGTTTATTACTTGTAAAGATTGCTATTTTATTCAAATAGTTTACTACTTTAATGAGATTCTTTTTGTTCAATATACAAATTACATATAATGTTCTAAGAAACTAAGTTATAGCTTTCTTACTTCTAAACCTTTGATATTTTGTTCGAGCGATTCGCGTCGTTAACTAACTTTTGAGCCCATATTTTCTAAACAATACTATTGATCCTCTATTATATTTACCGACTCCCTTTTCACAAAAGTAAGAAAGTAGAATAAATACAATAGAGAATATATTTTATTTGGCAATTCTTCATCAAATATTGACCGTTAAGCTTTCATACGTTTCCTGCAGATGTTAATACAATTAATGCAATTTTCCACTAAAAAAATCTCTTTCCGGCTAAATAGAATGTTCTTGCTTTGTTTAAAAAGGTCATTTTATTTTGTATTTATCGATTCACTGTAAAAGTAAACATATAAATAACTGTATTCGTAGATTACCTTATAAATGTTGAAATGATTGCCGTGAATTAAGTGTGATTTATATGGCATTAAAGGAATACACAGTATTCGAGCACATGTGCTTAAATCGGGCCAAACTATTACTTTTTTATTAATTATAAAAATGTAGTTAATATCATTAAATAATCTAATATCGTTAAAAGCATTTTATCATACATATATTCAATGATAAAATTGGTTTCTTATTTTTTATTATCGATAATAATGAATTACATTTATAAAAGGGTGGCTCAAAAGTCAGTTAACAGGGCTATACATGTTTAAGACTTTTAAGAACGCCAACCTGCGATTTTAACCGTATGTCTCGGTTAACTGACTTTTCGAGCACTCTATATTTATAAGTTATAAACATTCTACAATGTTTATAACTTATGTAAATTAAGATCTGGAGCTAACTATTAAATATACTTAATTCAATTTTTACAGAATTACAACTTAAAATAGCAAATAAAATTAAACGCTTTGTCATATTTTTATATAAGACGATTTAACTCGATTCTTGTTTTCGTTAGATTTACCATTGTTTCGCCGCCGAAGGATTAAACGAGATTTGCCCCCACTTTTTTTTTTTTATTATTTTGACAAAAGAGAAAAAGAAAGGATAGGAAAATCAATTTTCCATTCGCTTCTTAAAATTGCTTTCGTCACCTTTTAATGCTTTCCCTCACCGCTCTGCAAACTAATTTTTTTCAATTATTGGTATAAATTTAAATATTTTCTTAAATATTGTGTAATTACCCTAATTCGATAGCATTTAATGCTTTTTTATTGATTTACCATTAATTAATTAATTAAGCATTACATAGGCTATTGTAGCTAAATCTATATACAGCGAAACCTGTGTAAACCGGACTCGTACGGTGTCGAATATTTTTCCGGTTTGGTAAAAAACTTGTTCAAAACGGAAACGGTAGGTTTCCGTTTTGAACACGTTTTTTTTATAACATGGAAAATCGCTGTTTTTAAGAAAATTTCCAGTTTAGGCAGGTTTCACTTTGCAAGTTTGAGTTTGAGAAGTTATAAGCCGCGTGATTTCTTCACCTTTTTTAGAAGGGGAATATGCGTATAATTATAAAATAATGCATTCTTCCCTGGCATTTTATAGTATAAATTTATTTAAAAATTTAGTTACATCTTACATATTAGCCTAATTATACATACATTAAACATAATAGATATTAACTAAATTGTAGCTATTTTTAAATAACTAATTCTTATAAGAATAGAGGGGAATAAAAATATGATCTATATTCAGTTCATTTAATTGGAGATATTCCAATTTATGCAGATCATAGTACTGGAAGAATTGTGAAGTTAATAGAGTGCAGTAATGCTGATAGAGTAAAGGAGAGTGTATTTGAACGAGCACAAGCGAGGTATATTAAGCACTAGTCAAAAAATTCTAACAAGTATATGTTGAATTTATGGCTATTTTAATAACTAGTGGTTGGAGTTATAGTAGTGTTTTCAAATACTCTTCATTTAGTCAACCATGAATGCACCAAGTATTTTATAGCTGATATAATACTTATATCGAAAAGAATCTGCGGCTAATATAGATGTATGATCCTCGGGAGCTTCAGGAATAAAATTTAAACTGAAGAAAAAACAAATTGTCTTGAACAACAAATCTGGAACATTATAGAACATTTGTATTGCGGATATATAAGGGATACTTAATTTTTCTTCACTCTGTACAGTACATTTTAGATCCCCAGACCAAAATCTTAGTTACTCCATGGTGAAGAATGGATTATTTGTTAAAATTTTCCTACCATTTTTTAACATTATTGAATGGAATTGTAGCTTGTCCAATGTTTGACTTTCAGGAATATCGTTCAAATTTATTTCTTTCATTTTACTGTAATATACGATTAATGATAAAGATGAAGTATTGATTAATATTGATTTCCCATCATATATGATTGATTACTTTATTATATATCTCTGTTTAAATTCAGTTTTTCAATAAAGTTTAAATTAAATATCGTGTTCTTATTTCTTATCATTAGAAAAATTTCTAATTAAGTAATTAATTAGAAATTCTATAATGTGATTTTTTAGTAGATTTTAATTAAAAGACAATCAGTATCCCGAACTAATTTCATTTATTTTTCAACGAAACATCTAATAATTTAATATTATACATAACTGAAATTTTAATCGTATTAAAGTAATAATGATAATATCAAATTATTGCGAATAATAATGAGAAAAATTTTATTCCGTAGTTATCATCGGATTATGAAGAATCCGTTAATGTTACGAAGAACGAAGATGGATTAGAAGTTTCATCTTCAAAATTGAGCTTTATATTATCTGAAAATTTTATGGGCAGAGATGAGATAAGTATAAAATGCGTAGCAACAATATCACTATATGAATCAGTCAGCAGCGAGGAACTTATCATGAATGATAAGAACAACACATTAAAGTCACCATCCAGTAATTATTTTTCTCCCATTTTCTCATATAACTAAGATATTACAATATTTAATGCAGTATGATATCATTTATGATGCTGATATGTTTCAATTATCTTTTCTTATTGTTGAATTCAGGGGTTCTCAATCTTTTTCTTGCATTATGCCATGTACAAAATATTATTTTCATTCCACCCACTTAAAATTTTCTTTATTTTCCATGATTTTGCGTAATATATCAAGTAAATCAGTTAATGAATTTTTCACATAATTGTTATTATTCTTATTTGAAAATTATCTGGAACCTTCAAAAAATACCATAAATATCTAATTTTTCCATTGATATGCAGTTGATCCGTTGAATTTCTTTGAACCCCTTCTTGTGAATCTTTGGTTTAATTAATTAATATATTCCAGTACTGGTTTTTACTTTTATTCTTTCGAATTTTTTAGCAGATGGTACAGAAAAACCGATAATAACAGAAGGTCAGCCGGTTTATCGAAAGGGAGATTTAGTAAATGTAAACTGTACGTCACCCAAATCGTATCCACCACCCGAAATTGAATGGTATATTAATGATGAAAAAGTAAGTTTTGCATCTCTCAAGCACTTAAAAATTAATTATTCATAAGTTAATCTTCGTAATGGTTTTGATTTTTCTTTAAATAAAATAAAATATATTTTAATATATTAAATTAATGAATAAAGTTTGATAAAAATGCATTAATATGTTCTTAAAAGTAAGTTTTAATTAAAACTTATTTGACTGTTAATTAATACAAATTTTCAAGTAGTTTTAAAGTGATTTTAGTTTGAAGAGTAATTTAAAATGTTGAATACTTAAAAAATAAATTCTCTCTTCGTTTTTAATTCTTTATATAATAATAAAAAGAGGAAAATTTAAATTAATAAATGAATAAATAAGTTTAGAAGAGGAAAAATTTAATTGGGAAACTTTTTAGTTGTTTACTAAGTTATGTTGCATGTAATTTTTATATATTTGCATAGTTTCTATATTATAAAGTAATTTTCTCATAGTATAAATATAATCCTTTCATACTGACATATACGTTGTATATATACGTAAACTTTTCATTCATATAATTTACAGTATATATTTTATTATAATCGATGTAATAAAAAATTTATAAAATATACATACAGTGAAACATCGACATAAATAACGCTTTTTTGTGTATAACCAATGAATAATTGTGAATTGGATTTTTCTGTAAATATTAAGTAGAGAGCTCTTAACTATGTGTGAATTACTGATTGTGTGATTTTGCATTGTAAATGACATTATCACCAAATAATTTGAGTTTCATACACAAACTCGAATCTTCCTGTTCATCTCGTCATTACGTTTAGCAATGAATTTCTGAGTGAGCCAACTCGCATGGTTATTGGCTTATGTAGACAGACTTAACATAGATATTGTATAGGCTACCGTAAAAACACAATAGCCTACGATCACTAGCAACATATTTTTCAAGGAGCTGCCATATGCATTCCAGTGATACACATGATAATGCTCAATGAAAAAAGAAAAGGCTGAACAAAAACAAGTATTAAATTTCTTTCTTCTTTACCTCGTGCTTGTTTATGTAGCTTAGTATTTGATTCTGTATCATCCAGGGCTTGAGACATTATTTTTTTGTGCTGTTTATTTCTGAATTCGAGTGGGCGACAGTGGGGACCGGCAAAAAATGGAGGTGGAAGCGCCGTTCCTTGACGTCTCATGTGAATACATCCCTGGTTTCCTATTATATTTTCCTGGCTTATACTAAAATTTTGCTATAATTAAGATTATTTTAATTTAGATATTTATTTATATATTTTAGCTAAATTATAGCTGTATACATGTATTAGCAGACCATTTGATGTAAAGAATATTTGCCACTAGCACCAACATGTATATACATTGCATATATATATTTATTCAATTTATTTCCATATTTAAAAAAAAAAGAGTATGTTTGTCTTGATATGAAATCTAAAAAAGACGTTTTGTGTTGCGATAAAAATAATACTAGTTTATTGACATGACAATATTAAATGGCAAAGAGTAGCATGACCTAAATTCATCTCTTAGCAAAGAAAAATGAAAACTTCTTCCCTTACATAATAATATTTATTTTATTTATTTTGTATAATATAAATTTATGTTCTTGTTCTTCCTGCAAAACAGAAGAGTACAGTTTATGTTACAGTGTAGCTTCTAATATTTTATTTTAAAACAAAACAAAATTATTATTTAGAAATTGAATATAAGCATTTTTAATGCTCTCAATTAAGAAAAATAAAATTATAGCTTAATAATATCAGAATAATTATTATAATTATACTTTCACTATTATTATTGAATTATAAAATTTGATATTATTTAAAATTTTATACAATATTCTTGTAAAAGGCGATTTTTATCTGTTTTTATTACTTAAATGTTAGTAGAATTATGAATAAATGTGAAATAAAATCATAAAGTTTGGTCTAAGCTTAAAATTTCTGATTAAGAAGAGACAAAATTAAATGTTATATTTATAAATACTGTAATTCTAATTAAAATATATCCTTTTATTGCTGATTCTTTCCAGTTCTTTCAACATTCCAGAATTATTTTCTAATTATTAAGATATTCTTTTTGTTTAGTAAACAGTTGGCATTTTTTTATTATTATTATTTTGGAGTTAAGGGAATTTATCCTTAAAAAGATATAATAATAATATTACTTTATTAAATTGGTAAAGTAAAATATTTAAAAGGAAAGGAATTACTTTTAATTTTTTTAAAGAAATAAAAAAGTATGTAATATTAAATAAGTGAAAGTTTAATTTAATTTGTTTTATTTTATATGAAATTAAAGATTTGTTTCTTTGTAAACTGGAATATTAAATTAATATATACTTTTAATCATTTTTTATTTATTTCTATTTATTCTTTAAAGTGTTGTTCTGTTGTTAAGTAAGCTTTTATCCATTATTTCATCTTTATTTAAGGCACTGAAACAAAGATAAAATGTAGTGTACAAGAAAAATTTTTTGAAGTCAATCAAAAAGAATTTATTTTAATTACATTAATTTACACTCAAGTATGTAGGAAACTGCTTTGAAAATTCATAATAAACATCACTGCTTTAATATATATGTAAATTCATTTTAACATACAACTAGAAACGACTTGCAACTAAATTGAGCAACAATTAATTGGAGAAGATTTTTTAAATTATTTTTCGTGATTGAGTTACTTTCGCTTTACACTGAAATAAATTTTTTTCTAGAAAAAATGTCTACGGGAACTTAACGAGTTTGCTTAAATTTTAATTTGAAATTCTGTGAAAGAGAAAAATTCCGTAATGATCCGACAAATTTTAATTTTCTCCCTCTTAAAATTATAAGAAATCACGGTTATTGACAAAATGACAAGAAAAAGAATATATACTGTATACAGTTAAAACACAACAAGGAAGACAGGGAAAGTTGCTAATTATCTTGTCGATATTTTTGGGAAATAATTGAATTTTTAGTTTAAAAGTTGTTTTAGCTGGAAAAACTTTGAATAAAATTATTTAAATAGTTTATAATTTTTACAGCTAAAGAAATTTTTTAACTGAAAATTTAACTATTTTCCAATAATATAGTATATATATGAACATACTTAAATAAGTAAAGTGTATATATATTATATACACTTTGCTTATTTTACTTATAAATTAGTGATTTTAATTAATGTCATAATATCAAATAATAACAATAATAATTTATTTGAACTACTAATGTAGTTGAAATATGTAGTCCACGTGGAAGAGATATTGTTACGTTGAAAATAGTCAAATGTATCTTTAAATTCATAATATACAGTATATAAAAGCTATGTATATACATGTATATTATTATTATTATTTATTGTTAAGTATTCCACTCCAAAAGGAGTACTACACTGAAAATACAAAGGTAAAAGTATGTTAATATGTAATATACTGTACATTTAAATGTACAGTATATATACTGTATGCACACATCTTTTAAATGTCATATATTATGAATTTAAATGTATATATTTGACTCTCTTCAAGATAACAATGCCTCTTCCATATGTAACTACCCTATTTGTTTAAATAAATTATCTATAAAAATTAAATTGAAGACGTGGTTGTTGAAAAAGGAATCGCCTATTTATTCAAAAGTCTTCAATTTAATTTTTAAACTTAATCTCCATCCAACGAAATTCTACAAATTATTTATAGACTATTGATTCTACTTAATGTTAATAACATGTAAGCAAAATATTTAAATACCGGTAAGTGTAATATACTCAAAATAATAATAAAATTCTCTTTTAATGAGCAATATGTGGGTCTATTGAAAAAATGAAAGGTTCAGTCAATCTTTGAATTTATATCATTTCAAATACTTATGCTTTGGCCGTAAGAACACAGAGAAATTCAAATTGATTTTTACTCGACTTAAAACTTTCATTCTTGTACTTTTTTAAATAATAATATCGTTTAAACTTCATTCAAACTGTTTTTCCCCCTGTGTGTCTGTCCTGTCCTACGGTGTTTGGACGAGTAAATCGATATTTAAAATGGTTGAATTAAACACTAGCAATTGTTAGTTTTCAGTGTAATGAATATTGAATTTTTCTTTTGTAAAATCTTGAATATTAAAATCGAATTTGGTTTCATAAAATAGAAAAGGGTTGGAGATAGAAGAGCATTGTTTGTCGTCAGTGATTACTGCTTGATTAATTTTTTGTGAAATCAATAGAGGGCAGCACTGATTTAATTTTGTTTTTAAAATTTTAAATGTATACAAATTTAATTGTAAAAATAAAATTAATTAATTATTTTTATTAAACTAAGTTTGTTTGAAATTCATATTACTTAAATTCGTATTCTTAAAATTTATTTTTAAAAAAGGTATTTGATATAAAAAAAATTTTCATTCGTTAAATGCGTTTTCTTTATCCGTGCGTGTGTCTGTTCGACAATATTATTTTCGAAAACTAAAGCCAGAATGCTGAAATTTTTGTGACTTCAACTAAGAATTGTGTATAGTGAAACTTTGATTTAACTCCACCGTTAATTAACTTCAAGCAGTAAGAAATTATAGTGATGAAGTTTAGACACGAATTAAGGTTGAGCGTTTGAAAGTCACGTGATCTGATGATAACAGTGTCGTTCACAATGCAAAATTACACACAATTAGTAATTCACAGATACTGAAGGATTATTTAATATTTATGGAAGAAGATACATTGGGGTCTTATGAATATTGCGCTCTGTCGAGGTCTAATTTTATCCAATTTATGTTTACTTCCGGTGAGCCAAATTTAAAAATATGAAATTTAGTGGAGAGAAGTGAACAGTTTTGAAATCTTGTATTTGCATTTCATGCCAGTTTGTGTGTCTGATCTCAAAGATCCTTGGTAATTTTGGATCAGTACCGCAATAAAACTAAATTTACTTGTATAAAATTCGAATTTTCACCTATTCCTGTTTTTGGTGTGAATATTTGTAGCCGTAAATATGTTAATTAAATGCTTTTTTAAATTCATATGTATTTTTTAAAATTATTTTTATTTAAAGAATCTCTTCCATTAGGCTTCTCCCGAATACATTGTACTATATCCAGTTGAAAAAACGAATGAATCTCAATCGACTGTGGTCGGTTTAAGGTTTAATATGGAATCGACTCACTTCGATTCAAAACTAAAATGCACTTCTATTATATTCCAAGTTATCGACGTCAGAAGTGATGTAAAAGTTGTGGAGAATAATCGAAAAAATGAACTCCAAATGGAAGAAAACAGAGGAGCTGACAGTGTTAGAGGTAAGTTCTGATCGATTTTGTCACTATACTTTAAACGATAAAATGTTTTTATGTAGTTGATATATAGAGTAAAATAACCTTATTTTATAGTTAAATAATGTAGGACATGTTTAAAAAAGAACATATTTTATTTTCTAGTCGTAAGAGCAACGTATATTCGATTTTATTCATCTGTTTCGTAGATTTTTTAAAATTTTAATATGTAAAATTTCTTCTCAGTTTAAATTGTTATTTATTGTGTTTATTTTAGCCGAAGATGTTCGTGGTTTGGCCAATCATATCATGCCCAGAATAGAAGTGTTATTATTATTACTGCTGCTACCTTTTCTATGATGGAATCGATTGTCAAACTAGTCAGGTGATAAACTATCAAACTGCACTTGTCAGTCAGTCCACTCCCAAGTTCAGTTGACAAAAGCTTGTCTACTTAAACAACTGAATGCAGTGTTTTATCGTAATTTGATTCGAAAGGTACTTTGTTTCAGGTGCTTAATTTGTCCGTGTTTTATCAACAGGCACTCGCTGAAGTTTTGTTATTTTTATTTTTTTGTTAAATTTACAGTCAAATATTTTTCAATCTGTTTAAATTTAAACTCTCTTCATCATTATAACAGTAACTACATCTAAAACTGTGACTTGAAATTTTAAATATCATAGAATGGAAGAAAGAAAAAAGTTCTGACATATAATAGAAATATATATAATCGAGTGAGCAGCTAGTCTACGTAAATTTGACTAAAAAAAAAAGAAAATTTTTTTAATTTATGAAACTGCCCAGAATATTTGAATATGATAAAAAAAAAAGTAAATAAATATATTTGTCGAAACGACGATTGGTAGTTCCAAAAAACTACAAGTGTATTTTGTATTATTCTACAATGTATATTCGTGTGACAAAGGTGCTGCTGGCTTAGGCGTAAATGTAACTTATGATGTCACTTCCAGAAGGTTCTAGGAAGTTTCTCGAACTAACATTTTTCAAAGTGTAGTATAAAAAAATCAGTAATTAGAAATGGCATTTGTATTTTTTCGCCCTTTTTTCCACTAAAAACAATTACGTCTACGTGAAGTCTATATAAGTATACATATATAAGAAAAAATACATATATATTTCCATCTCTGATTAAAATAAAAATTACCCCCCTCGTATAGTCATTTTGATATTAAAAATATTTTTTCTTCTTCGTACAGTAGTCTAAAATATTATTTTTCTATTAAAAAATAAAAATTAATAAAGTTTAAACAATTAACATAATTATTCTCAGCTGTAGATATTTATTCTTAAGCTACAGTATCTCTCCTGGAAACATTTTATCGCCAACTAAGAACAAATTTGCAGTTTTTTTTCATTTTAATTGTCATTAAAGTGATAGTTTTAACAGTTTAATTAAATTAATAAATATTCTGGCATTATTCACAGAATTCCCATAAATTAAAATTAACATCATTCTCTGAACTAATATTAATATCATAGTTTGAATTTAATTAGCTGTATTAAAATCAGATGTTGACAATTTATCATATCGAATTTTAATCATTAAAATAATTGATAGGAATTTATAAAAATAAAGTAATTACGATTCTACTAAACAGGAAACGTCACTATAAGTCGAACAGTTGCATTCCATATTTGTTAAATGGTTCAGTTGACATTCCTTTGTATGCACCTTTATTTTTTTAATTAATAAAAACTGTGATAAATATCTCACAGTTAAATTATGTGATGATTATTATATATATATATATTTAATGTAGTTTAATTATTGTATATAGCAGAAGTATATAAATTGTGCCGTTGTATTCGTACGAATGACATAAAAAACCAAAGTTCCTTGTATTATTTGATAAATTTTTTTTTTGTTTATTTGCACATCTTCAACTTCGTTTTCATTGATAAAGTTCATTGTTAAACTCTGGAATTCTAACAGATCTTACATTATACTATTCATAATATATGACTCAACAATACAAAGCTTTTTTCTTTTTGTTAATTGATGTGACTAAGTTAGTGTTATTATATTTTCTACCTCAGAAATTACTGAAGTTTTGTCACATCAAATCAGTGATATATATATATATGACTGTATGTATATCAGGATATAGAAAAAAAAAATGATTTATATTTTTTGAGAAACATTCTGTACTAAGGTGATGAGTGATTGTGGGAAAGATCTGTGATGTATTTAGTGAAAGCTAATAGTAAAGTGTTATTTTCTATGGTATTTTTTACGCTAAATTTTATTACAATGTGGTTGAAAGCATCATTTCTCTGAAATATTATTAAGTACAGAGAACTAATTTTTCATGTAATTGTTCAACTATAATGTGATGTTCTGTATATTTTTCAGAAATTGTCTGACATTCCTAGTAAATATTTGTATCGCTTCTTAAATAATTTATTTTTCAAGCCGTTAAATAAAATAGAAAAAGTGAAGAAATGTAATTAAAAATTTCTTTTTGTTTTTATTTTTTTGTCAACCATTCCTTTATTATAANGATTTATAAGAAAGGTGTAAAATCCGCATGTATCAGACTGATTTAATTATTTTAAAATAATTAAAATTGCTTATTTTATTTTTTTTACACTTTAAAATTATTATTTTTATTTTTAAAATAAGAAAAAAGTGTTCGATGGAATCACATAAACAGGAAAGACCTCGAATAGGGGGTGGCGGGGGATTTTCATCACGTTATATAGCTTCATGACTGATATTCTATTGGAAGAATCACAGCTCCATTCTAGCAAAAAGATATGGCATGGATGTCTTAATGAGCCTATCAGTTTGCAGTTCTTGCACTTACCACGTCGACATCTTCCACTATGCACGCAAGAAAGAAAATTACCATGATTGTTATCTGCGTAGTAAGAACGCATAGACGTATTTAATTAGCACACTTTTTAGATGAAAAAAATTACTAATTAACTCATTACGTATAGGATTACATATAATTAAAGGTAAGGAATTAATGTGTATATATGTATGTATATATGTATATATATATATATATATATATACATATATATTAGCAAACTGAAGATCAATAGTACAGTGCTTGGTTTTGGCAAACTCGATCGCCATTCTATATATATATATATATATACATATGTACATATATATTAGCAAACTGAAGATCAATAGTACAGTGCTTGGTTTTGGCAAACTCGATCGCCATTCTACAACAGGCGCAGCGTGAAAGAGACGGGGTGGAAAATATACATCTCGGATGTTGATGAGGATGGACAGACACCCCGGTGTCCCTTAATGGGAAGGTCTACTTCCTGCTAGTAATGGGACATTGCTAGTACGAATATAGAAGATTCGTAAGGTTGTAGCACAAGTGGTCATGCTGTATATGGTTCCATTTGACAATGTTTCCACGCCTCGGCAGCAAGAAAGGTTCGTCCATAGGTCGGTCGGAGAGTTTCAAACAAAGAGTAAGTGAAAATTTAATGCAAAAAATTATCATTTATAACATAATTAACTTCGGAATAGTTAACAAAACGTAATAAATTAAAATTCTCCTTTTAGTTGATAAGGGAGGAATCAATATAGATACATAGGGTATCAGATAAATTTTCCGCGTTTTTAAGTTGTAAATTACTGTTTTTGTGTATTAACATGTAGATTTTTATGTGTGAAAATATATTATAGATGTATTATTATATGGCACCCTCCGTTTTTCTTGTTTACCTTCGACTAGTGAATGGACTTATCCAGTTTCCGTTCATGCAATTTCCTGCAGCAGACCACTGAGTGTCTGGCCTAACGGATAGGGGAAAATAAATTCGATAATATTGACATTTATATCATATATTAAAATAATGCAACANATTGGTACGGAATCGATATAGATAAGTAGTAAAACTCATCAGTGAGTGTAAAAGAAATTCTTGAATAGAAACTCTAATGAAGTAACAACTTAGAATAAAGACGATCGATGCTTATAGACTGATAAACCCATAAAGATGAAGAAAGATGGAAGTATTATTCTTAAAGACAAAGAAAAATATTTTTAAAACATTCTACTTTAAGTATTATAAGAAAAAATGATTAAAATTAACGATTCTAAAAGTTCTTTTAGTAAATCTTATTCATGTTTACAAGTGAATTAAATGTGCTAATTGCGTTAAACACAATTAATCCTTGTAATTGAATGCATTTTACATTATTACTACAGGTTATTAGTCCCACTCTTGTGAGGCCCTGTTGCATATCGCTTTCTTCTACCTCACTCTCTCCTCTGACAAATTCTGATCAATTCCAATACTCAAACACATTTCAAACAATCGTCTTCTCGATCTACCTCTTATTCTCCCGAGAAGATCCTTATCCACCCCACGTTTTCCGACATAATCCAAAAGAATTCGTTCCACATGCCCTAATCGTCGTAATCTTGACTCTAATTTTCTAAGAGATTTTCTCAAAACCCAAAGTCTGTATTCTCACCATACTACTTTGATCGTGTTTATTCTTGTCATTCCATATTCATCTCAACATCTAGCGTATTCGCATTTTTCTTAGTTAAAGGCAATGTTTCCATCCATACATCAAGGCAGGCGATACCACTCATAAACCTTTCCATTCGGCTTTAGTGAGATTTTTCTATCACATTAAAAACCTGACACCCTTCTGCAGCCTTGTCAACCTGCCTGTATACTATGACTGACCTTCCTTCGCTACCTGTGCCACTTGAATCCTGTCTTAGACAGTTTCTGACTTCTCATCTTAACATGCCGTGCATTATCATTTTTCACATCAACCATTTCACATATTATAAATTTGGTTTTGGTTCCGCTCAGTGTCAAATCTGTATCTTCTAGTGACATCCTACAATATTTACATTATTGTAGTTATTGAGTGTAAAAGAAATTCTTGAATAGAAACTCTAATGAAGTAACAACTTAGAATAAAGACGATCGATGCTTATAGACTGATAAACCCATAAAGATGAAGAAAGATGGAAGTATTATTCCTGCAATGTTTTGTAAATACAGAATATTTCAATTATAATTGTAGGCTACAAAATATTGTAAACAATTATATACATGGAAGTCGAAAAGTAGTTCTCCGATTTTTAATTTGAATATAAACAAATTACAATGTAGGAATAAGAAACACAGATATATTAGGTGTATATTTGCCCACTTTATTCGACATAGTCAGCAAGTATGTTGAGACATTTGTAAGGGTAGATCAAAAAATCAGACTCGGTTGTAGAAGATGCATCTTCAATGTTTTATTTCTTGGACATCTTCAACAGACTGAAATTAAAGCCTAGGAACAAGTGGCAGTCCGATGATGCCAAATCAGGATTATAAGCAGGATGGTTAAAGATTCACAGTGTCACGTGCAATACACGACCGAGTATTACTGTTCAATAGTCACAATTTCTCAGATTTCAATTTATGCCCAAGAAGTAAAATTTTGGCTATGTCTCAGGACTTATTTTTCTACCATCAAGGCTTCTAAACGCCTGTTATGTCGGGGCCTGTCCCTCATCATCCGGCTTTTCCATTGTGAACCCGGTCTAACATGATGAGTCTGATAAAAGGATCTCTTAGTGCCCAAAAAGTGGAGAGTCCAAAATTGAAAATAGACTATCAAGGCTTCGATTTCTTAATCAACCACTATGGTAAATGCTTCAATAGACAAGTTGACTATGTCAAACATATGCCTATTTAGAAGGTCTATCAGACTGCCACTTATTTTTCTAGCCCCTAACACATTAAAAATTATATTAAATTTTTACACTATTAAAAACATTTGACAAAAATAAAGAATTATATCTTAATACAAATGCAATGAAGAGAAAAATTTCTAATGTTTTTGAGGCGTTGTGCTCCAATAAGGTCTAAACCCAGCGGAGTAGCGTGGGTGTCAGCCGCCCGGGGCGGAGGAAAATTTCGCTGTCCCGTTATTGAGACATCTCAATTTAAAAGACTAAAATTCAGTTTCGTAACAGAAGAACAAGTAATGAAAATTTCCTTACCAGTGTAGCCACCCGTCTAAAATAGCTCCATTAGATATTGGAGGTGTATACTTGTAGGTGTGTATGAAAACAAATGAACCGCACAAGCAAAAAAAACAAAAGGTTAACAGTGCGCGCACGGGTGTAATTAATAGTTCACCGGACGGTGAGTCTATTCCCGGACTATTCCGTGCTCACTTCAATCGGTCCGGATCGTAGGTGCGACGGGACTATGGGATAAAATGGTTCAAATTTTTACAAGATATTAATATTATTTATTGTGAAATTTTGCTGCCCCCACTACGCTACGCTACTGTCTAAACCAAATAGCACTGAATGACCCTATGTGATAAGACCTGCATATACGGTATATGTTTCACAAATTAAATATCGAAAAGTGTACATGTTGTAATATGTTAGTAATGTACTGGAAACTTGGAAGCACTTTTTTGTGGATACCTATTGTATGATTTCTGTAGGGAGGCCCAGTTTGGTGGCAAAAAGTGTAAAATATTTTAATTTATTACAATATAAATTGTATAACAATTTTGCCATTATAATCAAGCTGTTAACATTGTTAAACTTAGTAAATAGCGGCGCCCCCAGGCTACAAAAAAAGAGCATTATACATTACACAAAAGCTTCAAACTAATTCAACTTGGGATCAATGCTCCCACTAGGTGGCACGATTGCAACGGGCAACTTGGCCTTGAAAGCGAGTAATGTTTCGTGATTTCAAGGCGGAGTTTTGGTGAACATACATCGAAGTTAGGACAATGGACGAATATCATTGATTAGTTTCTGTTATATTTGCAGAATACGCTAGAAATCACGAATTTTCTGTTGT